ATCCCTTCTCAATTAGCCTCCTTGATATGGTAGGATTTTAAGGAACAAGTGTTTCAATCAATAAATACCGATTGGGTAATCACATGTAATTAAAGAAGCGTCTACAGTCAAGAATTCGATTTGATCAGTGAGGTAATAATGTTATTCATCAAAAATAGGTATTGTCATAATATGACAATCAAAATGATGTACAATAACTATCAAGTTTGTGTTTGGTCACCAACGTCCGTAGTGTTATTTAGCTTGATGATAGCATCAACGGGATAAGATTGAGGTTGGATGAAAATTTTTTACTAATGGTGGTACTATTATTATTATTATTATTATTATTATTATTATTATTATTATTTTAACACATAAATACTGGTACAAGAGGGCACCAAATATATATGCGCCACACCATATTTGTGTGTGGGGGGCTGTGATATTGCCCGAGTGCCCAGATCGAAGCAGGTGGTTATCTTAGGGGGCCACTCCCCGAGCCTTCGACCTAAAGGTCTGATCCACAAGGCAGTGGAGCATCGTAAGAAGATGCAGTCCCATGGAAGCCGGTGACCAACAATTGGTTCATACGCCATTTGTTCCCGCAGGATACTGGAGCCCATGTGCACCATTGGTTTGGAATCCGGTTAAAGCGCCGGACATTCGCTTTTCGTCCTCTCATTTTTGTGAACAACACCCCCGCCACGAGAAGGCAGTGAGTAGGACTTCCCTGGCAGAGGCTGTATACGCGTGGCCGTGTGACAGCATTTCGAGCGGGAGGGCGGGCCCACCCCACTCTCGGCCATACCAGGGCATTTGGGGGCAATGGTGGTACATTATATGATATTTCTGTAATCTTATGTCACAACAGTGTGTGATGCACACCCTTAACAAATACTAGTCATGGCTATAGTGAGTGCAAAATAGAGGACGATACATATTCCAAACAACTTATAATGCTAATCAATTAAGTTAAGAAATATTGGATTAAGTTGCATAAGACATTCGGATTTATTCCGTCGATGACACTGCAGCACATCGTCCTGGTTTTATGATAACTCTTTGTTTATTTACATACTCTATTCTAGCACTGCTTGCTATTCACTTGACCATTAGGTACACTATTCTACAAAAATGCAGAGAAATATAGTCATTTAATCACTCAAAAATAACAAAATATTTTAATTAACAGATAAAAGGTATATCAAAACCACGGTCCAGCATCAAACTTACATTTGGACACTTTTCCTTAAGAAAATGGTTTAACGACTGACATAACTAATACCAGCGACTAGTATAAAGTATCAAGTAAATAGAACTCACTCTAGTTTTATCACTGTATCACAGATTACGGTTAACGTGTCGGGCCATGTTTCGGACCATGAACTACCAGATTTCTCCTCAATATCAAAAGTTTCGATCATATTGCTTATTCGACGTAGATTGACTGTAGTTTTCACAGTTTGAGAAGCAGATATCAATGCTACACGTTTAGATGCATAGTTTAGATGACCCGACGATGACTGGAGAGCCCCAGAAAACCTGCTTGGATTTAAGAGTTCGCATAATGTTTCAGCACACACAACACCAGCAATCCCACCTCCAATAATAACATAATCAAAATGATTCAAATCCTTTGCAGTAAAGGCAGAGGACATTGTTACTAAAAAAGATTAAGTGCCCTAGAAACAAATGAAGGGGAAAATGATGATCAATGAAACTTTACTAGTCCATTCAAGTTTAATTATCGACTACACATTAAACTGTTCATAATCAAGAATATAAATCTGATTTACAAGGAAACAACATTTACTCTGTGTGAAATTTTCTAGTAACAATAAGAAACTGATTAGTTGAGAAAGTGAATAAAATATAATCACAATGGTGGTAATAAGCTACAGCTGTCAAACAAAAACTAGTGGTTTTAACGAACTTTCAAAGCACATTGCAATGAGCCTTTCCATTTATGTGTTCATTTAAAGGAACAATTGTGAAAGAAGCCAAAATACCAATGATCATCTGACATGGGGACCATCGAAACTAACTAGACGGATGCAAGTAGATCATATTATCGTCATTTATTGCTTAAGATTTAGTGGAAGGCTGGTGCTCGTTCTGCAGTACATTTCTATTAAACATGATCAAGCTGTATTGTGAAAACGCGTTCTCATGTAATACTGGATGACAAAACTTCAAGAAATACTCTTAAAGCTCAACTTAGAAGTCAAAAGTATATTTAAGGCTCCGAATGCGATAACGAGCGAAGACAACTTACACGCAAACTGATATAAAACCTACGCGTGAATTGTGGGCGATGAATGGAGAAGAGATGAGAAAGGGAATGAAACATAACACCAGACATGTCTTCAGATTTATCAGAAAAGACAGGCATCAAAAGCCCAAATGTTAGAGGTCGAGTTACAATATTTCCAAACAACCGAAATGGGAAATCGACACAAGTCACCAACTTGAGATAGTGAAAAAGACTAGTAGCTCAGGTGGAGTTTAATTTTCTGAGCTGGATGGTTTGGTCGCGAAGCTTTCATTGTTCTTCTAAACAACATAATCAGTACAAACTCTAAGTAGGAGTGAAGTGTTCGAATTTTTCGACATGACTCACAGCTTGTCCTGTCGACCTCGACCATACAGCTCAAAGAACAAAACTCCACCTAGGTCCCCAACTCTTAGTAAGGTTAAGGAAGCTATAACTAACTTGAATCAGAGGAAAGCAGCATAACCTAACAGGCTGACTCCATAGATTTTTAGGGATGACGATGATCGAGATTCTGTCGCTTTTTTATACCTTTTCAACGATTGATTTACCAACACCTATCAACTTAAAGTAGACAGACGATATAGTCCTATTCGGTGAAGACGGTGACATAATCCAGTATTTCGATCAGCTTGAGAAAAGATGTGAACATGTTCGGTGTGTGCTTCTCGCCCTCCAAATGCAAAATGTCATCAGGATGAATTTGGATTGTCGCCTGCTTTGATCATAGGAAGTGAAGTAGTTGAGTATGTTGACCACTCCACTTATATCATAAGTCTCGTCAACCCTGGTAGTTTGGCGTCCAAAACAGTCTCACCACGCATTCACAAAGTCCCGTTGGCTTCCTCTGATTTGCGTTGTGCTGTAAACGAGAGGTCCATCCACTCGCCAAATGACAAGTATAGTGCGAAGCGATTCGCTTTGTACTATTCCGTGGACATGAAACATGGTCTATGAAAGTAGAAGACGCGCTCAGGGCGCAGGTTGTGTAACATGCCTTCGAAGTATTCCTCGTCTATCATGGACCGACAGAGTGAGTGACACTGAAGTTAGGGATACGGCACCAAACAAAGGTGGCAAGTTAGTTGATCAATATGTAAATCTCCATAGACTGAGGTGGTTGAGATATATATTGCATGTCTGCAACCACTACCTGTTTCGACAGCCGATCTTTGTCATCGTTTCTAATTAATTTATTAAACACGTTTTCGGTATGAGCCACGCTAAGTGTAAGAGCCAATGATATTACCCAGTTGCCCAAACAGAAGTAGGAGGGGCGGGGTTCAAATCTAGGATTTAGTAGCCGAAAACCGAGGGTCTTAAAACCACCAAGCCACCACTCGTAGTAGGTTGAATTCAAACCAGGAGGAACTAAACCGAGACGTATCGTGAGTCCGCGAAGTCACTTACCACTAATCTGAACAATGTTAGGTGCAAACAATGATCAGTAGCTGGAGACGTTGAGTGGCTCGGTCCATAGGGAACTTGTAGTGTTGTAGGCGCAGACACTACTTTTTCCTGGGTCTCGAGTTTTAAAAAAGCCTGGGAATTTTTTTGTCCTGAAAATTCCCTATTTCTTTCCGGATAAAACTGTTGATAACGTTTTTTACTGCCATTTATATGACTACTTTGATATTCATCTTCATAACCTTATCCTAGTAAGGAGTGGTAACCTAGGCCAATGCACATTTCAGGTTGTATATTGCTTATGACTAACCGATCAGTAGAATTAGTGCACATTTCTAGACTGCTTACTTGTCCATCAATTTCAGTCCAAGTTTTGTGAATGATCATAAATAACTGCTTTCAAAAAGGAAACATACAGACGTAATTGTATCAGGTTGTAAATATTCACACCGAACTGAGAAAACTATCCTTCAAAGTACTTTAAAATCTCATTCGAACGAACTAACAAGTGTTTACTAATCACATCTCAGTTGTACCAATCACTAATCTGTTTGGCTTAATCCAAGGAAAGCGACCATAATAACCGATACCAACCTTATGATGAACGAGGTAAACTCATGCGTACATACTTCGTAAATCGAGATTCAATTATTAGGGAACTGTTCTCGTATCATCAATGAAAGTGTGTTCATTTAAATGTGTATGAGGACTTTTCCCTCTCCAGTTTTATAATGATTTGTTAGTGTATTTATGGAGAAACCAATTCTTTAGTTGTCGGAACATGATCTAAACACCCAATCACTGAAATACTTTGAAGAAAAGTATCTAAAAGAATAGGGACTTATGGTATCAAAATTAAAATAACATCGACCGAATAAGAGTTACAATCTAATTGGGCTGTATGAGCCTTTATACATAATTCCCAAGATGCAAGGAGATAGTCGTTGAAGACTGATTAGTATGATTATCAACATCCTTTTTAATATTTATTTATCTGAGAACTTATATAATTCCCCAACCCACATATCGATGCTGTATCGCATGCTTTATTCATAAGATCATAGTACAGAAATCAAGTAATGAGATCCAAACATGATATCTGCCGTTAAATAAATAACAGAAAAAATGTAGGAGACTCCTACATAACCACTTGCATACTGGAAAGGTAAATAAACCCGCTATGTTAAATATTGCGAACAATTTAAGTAAAAATAAACAATCTGACAAACAAAAGCCAGTAAGACACTCAATTTATATTATTCAATTCATATTCAATTAGGAACACAGGAGGGCACTGTATGTAAGAATAGATAAGAAAAGGTACAAAAAGTATTCAACATCAAACATGTTGTTTCCTGTTATCTTCGTCATATATCTTCTGAACTCCACTTCTAAGAAAGGACATGCGCATATCAATATTACGTATCATTTCCGTAGCTCGTTCCACTTTGTAGGTAGTGAGCGCACGATAAAATAATATAGCGAAAATGACGAAAATGAGCATGGCTGGCATCAAAACAATTGTTGCGGCTATGGCAGACAGGCTACTCACAGACCAAAATTTAACCCAAAATGCTAAAGTTACCACAGCTAAAAATAAAATGATGCCAACCACAGTACTGCAAATCCATGCAACTTCAACAAATCTATAAGGAAAAAATTGATAACCGTAAAAACAGATATCTTACGTTCTTAATCTGTTGTGTGGTGCTTCCTCAATCAAATAACAGTCTTGAGGGACCATGTATGAGTCAATATGTGGCAAAATACAAGTACTTATCATTACAGCCATTATATGCACGACAACCAGAAGACATGAAAGAATCGTGAAAGCAAACAATAATCCTTCAGGTGGTTTACTTTCGCCAACAGCAACCTAAACCACTTATTTACAGTCACTGTTAAAGTAACCTGCAATTCAATGATTGCAACCATAGCGAAACCTGCCAGCAACGCAGACACTCGACTAGTGGCTTTGAGCTTTGCTCGACTCAACTGTAAGTGTCTTCGAGCTAGTGAATATGAATCTGGGAGTACTGAAGTAACAACGTTGTCTGAACTCATTGGAAGTCCTAACAGTAAAAACAAAACAAGTTGAGATTCATAATAAGAATGATTGAACAGAAAACGAGGTGTAACGTTAAGTAATTTAAAGAGGATATGAAAATGCCTTTCCTTAATTAGTTGGAAAATTCAAGCTTTATCGGTCGCAACATCGTGACTGTCACTTGTCATTCTAATACACTGAGCAAGATTCCAAGAAAAGATTTTTGACATGAAATATAGTCTGTCAGCTAGGTCAGGATGATTCAGTGGACATAGCAGGGGGATTTAAATGAGAAGAGACAACAGCATCCCTGGGGCAAAATAAGTTTCTCCGTCAAGTAATCAACTTTTAGGATCTACTGTTGAGAGTTGGTATCTAAACCTTTAAATGGCTTAAGTTATTGAACAATTGTTTAAGAGATTAGACTGAAGTTTGCTGGTACAGAACAATTACAGGCCTCTGGCACTCCACCCTCAAATCATATATCTTATTATACAAAAGAACAGTAGGACCAGTTTCGTAAAACCCTGTGCAAGTTTCGTCACATAAAAATTACGTGAATAATACTACTTCATAATAAAGTAAATCTCTCAAATAACTGCTACTTTACTGTCTATATGCGTGTAGGGTTTCATTAGCATTCTACTCTTTATATCTGAGATGTACATCGTAAATATTTACAGATGTTCTCAGATTAAAAATTCTTTGCCCGAAATAACTACTATTTGCGTAACCATATTAACAGATGTATATGATCAGACCAAAAGATACATTGGAAGTAAACCAATTCATGAAGTCACTAGCACTTCGTGAGAGTTGTTTAGGATGGGAACTTTTGCATTCAGTATGCGATACCGCAGATGAAAAAATATGAACCAGTTCTATTTCAGGTCGTGAGCAAACATACTTAATACTTGTCATTAGATCTTAAAGACGCGTCTTTGAGATTTAATGTGATAGGCATATCACATATGCGTATCCATATATAATATATATGGACTTGACAGGTCATTTAGTTTTCTATGTAGTGAAAATGAAGAACAGCTTCCATAGCTGTCTGGCATTAAGAAACTGTTGAGTGTTTTTGTTGACTTCGACTTTGAGTACTAATTGGATTAGCATAACATCATGATACTTAACTGTGTCAGATCTAATGTCTCAACGGTTCAATAAACTTACAACGTGATACACTCATATTTAATAATGAAAATAAACGACAGCAGTTAATAATGCGCAAATGACGATTTACAACATGTCATCATGAACATGTAGTAGTTGAAATCTGTACTAAAGTGTCTTTAATTTGCTCATCATTTGTGCATGAGATATTCAAACATGTTCCAAATTTATCATACTTTGAGGCGCGAGTTTTGAAACAACAGTAATACGTTATGGATTCGTGAAGCATATTACGTGGCCAAAGGCATAATCACAATGGGTTAACTTGATTTATTTTAATCAACGAACGATTTTTAACTCATTCGTGTTCTAACTATGTCATTTTGTTGTTTCTGACACTGTATAAACTTTGGGTAAACTTTTGCTTGTATTCCCGGATTATTCAGCTATGGTTGTCTCCATGTGGTAGAGGAATATTCACAACCAGTGGTGATAAAACCATATCCTCACAAATCTGTAGCTGCAAATAAATCCCCAAAATAAATAACTCTGTAAGTCTTTAACACTGCATCCTGACCACATTAGTTTTAATGGACTCACCTAGCTGAAGGCGATCGGTCATGCATCCGCATCAGATCACAAGTGAGAACGCCATGCTCAACTTCTCCTGCAACAGCTAGCCAGATTAGATCAGGCGATTCACGATATATTGATAATCTATCAAATATATCTTCGAACATCCTCGCTTCTGTCTTTTGAATTCACTTGGTGGGTACGCTTCATATAGGTGTTACTGGTTAAAGCGTTGTCAAAATCCGAATACCTGTGGCATCTTCATTGGTGAGCCTAGAGTGAGTCTGTTCCTCTTTGGGACTTTATAAATCACTGCCTTATTTTAATTTTTTATACATTGTGATATTTAATTAGTGTTTTTGGATATATATATATATTCTTTCCCCTCGTTCATTATCGTACTTCATATTTCATCATGACTGAACAGAAATCCAAGGTGCTTAAACTTAAGACTCTGTCCCCACCTTCATTTCAACTGATGCCCTTCTGGCCGGACAACATAGAAGCCTGGTTCCGCTAAACAGAAGGTTACTTCCACGAGCACGGTGTGAACGACACACGTGCACAAATTTTCGCGGTAGTAAAGGCACTCCTTTGTAGCGGTAAATAAATCCCCAAAATAAATAGCTCTGTAAGTTTTCAACATTGGATGCTGACCAGATTAGTTTTAGTGGACTCATCTAGCTGAAGGCGCTCGGCCATGCATCCGCACCAGATCACGTGTGGTAACGCCGTGCTCAACATCTGCCGCAATCGCTAGCCAGATTAGATCACAGAATTCCGATATATTGGTCATCTCCAAATATACTCTTCCGATCTCCTCGACTCTGTCTTTTGATTTCTCTGGGTGGGAACGAAATACATTAGAAGATGTTACGGGTAAAAGCGTTGTCAAACACTGAATACCTGTGACATCATCATTGGTGAGACCGACGTGATCTGGTACACCTAATTGCAACTGTGTCTCTGTTCCTTTTTGGGATTTTTATATATCATTGCCTTATTTTTTTTATTTTTTTTAAACATTGTGATTTTTTTCGTGTTTCTTCTTGGATATATATATATTTTCCCCTCGTTCATTATCATACTTCATCATGACTGAACAGACACCTAAAGTACTCAAGCTTAAGACTTTGTCCCCACCTTCGTTTCAACTGATGCCTTTCTGGCCCGACAACATCGGAGCCTGGTTTTGCTACGCAGAAGCCGACTTCCACGAGCAGGGCGTGATCGACACACGTGCACAATTCCTCTTAGTAGTCAAGACACTACCGCGGGAATTCAACAGGTACGTAACACCTAGTATGTTTACTAGTGATGTTCCCGATCCTTACGAAATCTTAAAACGCTCGATTCCTAAACGAGGAGACCTAACCGATCAACAAAGGTTAGATCAACTCTTCAATAACATCGACCTGCAACACGGTTCTGCGACGGATATGTTGCAACGGATGAGAGAGGTAATAGGCTCAAGAACTTTCGACGAAGGTCTATTCAAACAACTCTTCTTATCAAAACTTCCCCAAAATGTGCAAGCAATTCTGGTCTCGTTTCAGAACAACGCCTGAGACGAACTAGCTGCATCTGCCGACCGCAATTTAGAAATTACGAAACCTTATACTACCGAGGTATTTTCAAACAAAGAGATGGCGCACACCACGTAGAAGCATTTCTCGTAAGCGATCTGTCTCTAAACCACGAGAGACAGATAACCCCGACTGATGCTGGTATCATAACCAGTATGGAAAGTCTTCCAGAAATTGCAGAAAACCCTGCAATTTTCCCAACACGAAACCGAGTGACTCGAAAAACAACTCGTGAAACTTCCAAGCCGGCACGTGTTAACGGCAACCGTAGCCGGCGAACATAGCCGTCTGTTATTCGTCACAGATGTGACAACGAGAGTTCGCTACCTCGTCGACAATGGCGCAGAAGTTAGCGTTCTCCCAGCGAATTCTGACGACCGACTCCACGAATCGACCCTAAACTTACAGGCGGCAAACGGAAAACCGATCGCTACGTATGGCAAAAGGTACGTTTACCTTAACGTGGGTTTACGCAAACCCATTCACTGGATCTTCGTTGTTGCAGATGTTTCTATGCCAATCATTGGTATGGACCTTCTACAACACCATAATCTAATCATCGATACGCGCAAACGGAAGCTAGTAGACGGAAACACTAAATTATCCGTTTGCGTAACTTCTTTTTCTGGTTGCAGATTATCCCCGGTCACAATTAAGCATACGATAGATCCACTTTATCAACCACTACTCGATAAGTATCCTGGGATACAACAAACGCAACCGAAACTACCGTGTGTAACCAGCAACGTTACACATCACATCACGACTACAGGACCACCTGTATTCTCTAAAGCACGACGACTAGCCCCCGAAAAGCTAAGGTTATTATTATTATTATTCACGAGTTCGATCACATGATAGACTTAGGAATCATACGACCGTCAAACAGCCCATGGGCATCTCTGTTGCACATGGCCCCTAAAAAGGACAGTAACGATTGGCGTCCAACTGGTGACTACCGGCGATCGAATGCAAAAACCATTCCCGATCGTTACCCGTTGCCTCACATTCACGATTTGACAGCTACCTTGAAAGGTACAACTGTTTTATTCGAAAATTGACTTAGTTAAATCGTATAACCAAATCCCCATGGCCACAGACGACATACCGAAAACCGCCATCATTACTCCCTTCGGACTCTACGAGTTTTCACGAATACGTTTCGATCTAAGAAACGCTGCTCAAACATTCCAAAGGTTCATCGATGACGTTTTTCGAAGTCTCAACTTCGTACATGCGTATGTTGATGACTGCCTAATCGCAAGTCCGGACAGAGAATCAAATCTCAAGCATCTGGATCTTGTTTTCGAACGACTACAAAACCACGGCATTGCTGTAAGCGTTCAGAAACGCCAAATCGGAGCTGACTCATTAGACTTCCTAGGACACACTATAGATGCTCAAGGCATTCGACCCCTTAGGACCAAAGTGGCGACAATTCTGGACTACCCAGAACCGACCACGATCAAGCAACTACGAACGTTTAACGGCCTTGTAAGTTTCTATAGACGATTCATACCAAAATGCGCGTTACTCATGAAACCTCTTACCGACCCACTTCGTGGAAACGCGAAATCCATTAATTTGGACGATACCGTACGAAAAGCATTCTCCACAATTAAGGAACTTACTGCTAAAGCAACAATGATTGCACATCAGGACACCGAAGCACCCATTAGCATCGCAGTAGACGCATCCGACTCGGCAATCGGAGGAGTCTTACAACAATGGGTTAACAA